GTGTATCCACAGTAAATCCAACATAAACTGAATGCACTGGACTTGAGGGGAACCCAGCCTCTACACATATAAATTTTGGAGGAAGTTTGTCAATGTGTACTTTCCTACAAAAAAAAAAAAAAGTATCCTACAACTGGGAGATGCAGATGCTGTTCCCTCCTACTCTATGTCAAGGAGCTGTTCACCTGTAAAAAATGGAAGGGCCTTTTTTGATCTGGCCACATCACCGTCCTCCCTTGGATGGAACAAGAGCTCAGCATTGCCATTCACAATTGTTCCCTTGCTCCACAATCGTGCTCTACCACCACGAATAAGAAGCGGGGCTCAAGCTCTTCACATGAAACTAAAATTGACAACTAATGCCAAAATCTTACTTGTTTTTTTAAGACATTGCCCTTTTCATTACTTTTTTTACTTCACTGGAAAACAAAATAGAAATACTTACAAAACACAGACTATGCACTGACACCTACTTTAGCCTCTGTACTGTTATTATTAAGAAGTAAGTTGCAAAAATGCAGACTCTTTGCTACTTATTCTACACTAATGTAGAGATGAAAACTAAGCCGGTTAAATTTAATTACTATCCATTTCTTTTTTTTATTTTTCCTTATAACGTCTGCTTTTCTTCACAAGCCCATATTCCACAGCTGCATGTAAATCATTCTAACTATTATAGCTTAAATTTCATCTGTATTTTGTCCCAAGCCATAAAATTCTAGATTATCCATGATATTCAAAAAGCCAAGAGAAGCATCCATGGATTCTTAAACACTACACTCCTAAGATTTGTGAGAGGGGAAGGAAGTGGTAACCTCCTAAGATCTCCTGTGGATTCTATCATTTATTATAAAAGGCTGGGAAAAATGTTGACAAGGTCAGGCAGCCTACATGCCCTTCCCTCTGAATGAGACATTATAACTTGCTCTGAGACGTACACAAGCCAGTAAGATCAGAATTGGGCTCAGAAGAGAAAGTTCTGTTCTATGGAGACTTTTTCCCTGTGCTTTCTTATCCTCTTCTGACATTTTCACCTCTTTAAAGCAGCATCAGAGGAGGGCAGCAGAGCAGACTTCCTTAGTGTCATGTATGCTCCTGACTTGCTGCTGTTCTAATCAACCAGACTACCCAAACTTACCTGAGATGTTGCTATAAATATCATTTACGCTATTTGTTTGAAGCAAAACTGCAGTATCCAAATTTCCCTTATTTTCCCTTCCTACCCTCAAAGCCAACCTCAGGAGGATGTCCCTCCTTAAAGCAGGGCTTCTACCATGCCAGCATGTTACCAAAAACCAATGGGACAGGAACTCAATCTCTTCAAGACCACAAGGACAGAGTAGTGCACAAGTTTGGCCCAAGATCCTTCCCCTCAATCAGCAGCCACTGATGCAGTGAGTAACAAGCACACCATCTTTAGAAGAGGACACCCTATTTTCCTGTTCATTCCTGCTTGAATGCTCTAATGAAGCCCCTTATAAACTGGCTATGCACACATTTCAAAGCTGAGTTAGTCCTGTCTGCTCAATTTCTTTTCCAGTCAAGACTGGTTTTCTCTCTTCTGATACCCTCCTGAGAAAACGTAAGAAAGACTCATAAGTCAGACTTGCCACTTCTTTTGTGCTGCAATCCAATTGTAATATTACAGATGTAATTCCCAGATATGAAAATATTAAGAACTTAATTGCAGAGTTAACTGAGTTAAATTGCACCAGCTATACAATTTATAGCAACCTTTACTGCATGAAACTGGCATTTTCACAGGAGCCCAAAGAGTTTAGGTGTCTCATGACTGATGATTCTCAGAGAATGAGTAATTACTTTCTTCAGGCTGTTTTTAAAATCCTATCATTAATACCTACATTAAAGAAAACAAAACAGAAATAGAAACTAAAGCCCATGATGATGAGCTTCATAAAGATCTTAATTTCTCCCCCCTCTCAAATTCCTGATCTTTGAGTACCTGATTTTATAACTTCAATATTTCACTAATTTTGTATGTTTCTATTTTTAGGTTGCTATGATCCTTTTCAGTAGGGGAAAATACAGGAAGAAAACAGAACCATTTATCTAGAGGACTCTACAAACTTCAGTGCAAAGCAAGATTCCCAAAAGACTTTTTCATCATCCTTAATACAGTGCAGCCTAACAGAGTTTGAACATTTTAATGGCTAGTGATGAAACGCCACAAAACAATCAAAACCACGACAAGGCTAACTGACTGTAGGATGGACTGCTGTTTCAATGGATTATCCCTTTGGCCCCAACCCCAAGTTTAAAATGCTTCAATCGCCAATTATAGAGAGATTTAATAATTTCAGTAGTCATTGAAGGGCTGAATTGACAATTCTGGAGAGGGATATCCTATATTAAGCGCAAAGGCGGAAAAGCACAAGCAGGGACACTGCAGCTGAATGTGCCTTCCCATGCCCCAGTTCATCCAGACCTCCAGCAGCACCCACAGCTTGGCTTCTGGGGCATAACCACCTGGAGCACCCATTGAATCCAGCCAGGTGAGGTGACAAAGAAGAAAAGATCCAGACACTTGCACATGAAATAGTCACCTGTCCCATACACAAGTTATACACACAAAGTCCTCTGCACAGAAGCACACAGGTGGACAAAACAGCCCAACAGCTACAAGACCCCTTTCCTAGTCCTGCCCAGGGGCTTTGCACTGACCAAAGAGCCAGCCCACCACCAAGGACCCAAGGCAGCCTCCCAGTGCCAAGAATTTTTCTCCAAAAACATCACTTTGGTGATCACCCAGATTTGATAGTAGATTCTAAACTTGCTTGTCAGATACACAGGATCTTTTATAATTATACAAATTTAAAAAGTGCAATATATGAATTGGTCTTTGCATAACACTTTTCTGCCTCCTGAGAACAGCAAAAAACGAGATACAGGTGTGTAAAAATATGGATGTGTGAAAACCCAGGTCGAATTCCAAAACTGTCACAGTGAGTTAAACCCTTACTCTCTCTTTGCCTCAGTATGCTCCTCCTAATTATCTGCATCATAGTCAATTTCTCTCACTGTTTATCATCTCTTGACTGTAGAGGGTCTTCAGGGTAGGGGCTGTTGCAAACAATTCTAGGCATGTTTGTACAGTGATTTGTAAAATGAGGTCACAGTCTCAGGTGGGACATTTATTTGCTTTACTGAAGTAGCCTTAGTAAGAGAGAAATAAGAATGGAAACTACTAAAAATCAAAACTATGTTGAACTGGGTGGGGAACACACATAAAGATGCTTTCTGGGCGTTTAAACGGGATACATGAATGTACTTTAAGACAACTTAAGAGCCTTTAACTGAAAAGCAAGGTGTGTATCATCGGATTTAGAGCCACCTTTGACTGACTGATTCACATTATTTGAGCTACTTGCAAGTTCTCGTTGATTACAGAAAGTTTCCCCAGATACACGTCAATTAATACATAAGAACCCTGAAAGAGCAGTCGGGCAATCCACCAACACAGAGCCATAAAAACTGCACTGTTTGGGGAATGATATTTAAAACAGCCATTTTGGGCAAAGTATTCTTGCAAAGGCTACTATTTTATTTATTCCAACTTTTTCTGTTAAAAATGTGTCTTTATAAAAGTAAGTAAAATAAATCATATATGAAGCATTATTGGCCGAAGTGACAATATATATGCATACAACTGTTGGTTTCTCCTATAAATTTGTGGCTTTTTGGCAATTCACTTGCTTAGGAAGCAAGAGATTCTCATGACACACTGTCACTTGGCAAGCCAGCTCCTCTTTAAAGTTAGTAGAATCCACACAAACTTGGTGTCCTTTCATATTTTATTCTTCAAAGATATGTATGTCCAAAACATAGAAACCAAACCTGAGGGTATAGAAAGAATTATCCATTCAAAAGAAGGAATTCCTCAACATTTTTATGTTCTTGTATATATGCACTGTCAACTTTTATTGCTCCTCATGTTCTACGTCAGAATTGGTATGGACTGAGACGTAAAGCTCACAGTAGTAAATCTAACTGTACAGTCTGCTCCCAGGATGGCTGCTCTTTCTTTATCTGACTTCTTACCTCGCTGTGATGTTACTGCACTTGAGCAACCACAGCTATTACTACAATCACAGCAGGACTGGCAGCTGGGCATTTCAACATCACTACTAACTGAGCCACATAAGATTCCTACAAAGCAAGTGGTATTATGTTCCTTTTCAGATACAAAAGAAAAACACAGATAACTTATCCATGCCTTGTTCCTTATCTACCTAGTGAAAGAGACAAAATTAAAACCTAGGAGTTCTTACGCTACTCCTCTGTTCTAATTACTATATGCCAAAATAACATTTCTGTACATCACTTGAGTTTGAAAATGCAATAAACATGATACTCCCAAAATAAGATCACCTCTGACCCAGTCAAGTCTCAGAATTTAGGGCGAGGAAACTAATGATGTGGGTTCTAAGCATTTATACAGATATAGCAGTTTTACCATAAAAGCTATTCTTATAACGTTAAGCAGTTCTTGTGCTGTCTGCAAAAATTTATGACTGCATGTTCATGTGAAGTAATAAAAGTGGCTAGTGAATTCTTTCTTATGTTTGCACAATCCCTGTTTCAAATCAGCAGCCCCCAAACAGGAGAGTTATGTCTGAAAATATCAGTATCCACCAAAACATAGGAATCTATTCTAGGTATGACTTTGCAGCCCACGCATTCTGGTTTTGGGCAGGGAAGCTACATTAATTTTCTTGTGTCAGTCCCAGTTTGGTTCCTTAGCAGTCAAACATGGCACACTTTACCCACTTGGTAACTATGCTTTAATGAGAGTTGGGATGTGGGCAGCGTGCATTTACGGATTTTATGTTTATGTTGAAATTCTGAATTTTGCAGTATTCTTGACATCTGTCCATCGGGTTATTAAGTTCATGTCCACTAAAAGTAATGAAAGAAATTCCTGACAACATCCCCCTGTCATGTAAACGATGGCTCAGTTTCCATTATATACTGGCTCTTACCTGTGGAGGAGAAGTTCCAGTACTTCCTTAGTAGAAGCAAACGCCCTGTATGTTGACAGAAAGATACTGATGTAGGTAAAATCATTATCCCCAAAAGCTGTCAGAAGGTTCTCCACAAGTTTCTCCAAAGTTCCAGCTTTTATTGTCCTGATCTTGCATGTTTCGTACTGGCTGACAGTATGTTCTGGAGGTAACTGGTCCCCTTCAGCCTACAAAGTTGAAACAAAAACAAAGCACAAAAATCAGACAGAAGCCAGATCCCTGACACAGCTTTTACAATGAAACACAGATTAAATTCCTTCTTTTCACAGAAATAGTCCATCTTTAGTTACTAAATGATTTTGTCAGTTTGGGCTCTCCAAACATCGAATGCTGTATCAAATAATGGAGGTTTTTAGCAAGTTTATCTTTAAGATATTTCTCTGATATGCTCCACAAAATATTTTATAGTCTAACTGCTATCAAGTTATCTTATGGTCCCATCATATATTATTTTCTAAAAGACAAATCCATTATCCCACAAAGAATAATAGTACTGGAGGGAACAACAGTGGTGATTCAGTCTCTCGCTTAACTTCTGAATAAACATGAAAACTGACCACAACTTTAGCATCAGCACTTGTGATTCTCTTGCTGAAAATACCAGCTCTGGGTTGCCACACAGAACCTAGGGTCACGAACACATGCGAAACATTTCATGGTATTTTTGCAAGGAGGGTGTCAAAGTCATCTTGCAAACATGTCATCATAACATTTCAATTTTCTCTTACAGTTTCCATTTGGCACAATATTGTCAACAAATCCAGGGTTTGGTGTTGGGGGTGTGTGTGTTTTTCAAACAGCATTTGTTTTTAATGCTTACGGCCTGCTTTAAGTATGAAATAACTAGAAACATTCCCTTAAATTCTGCCACTATTTAGAGGACAGTTCAGAAAATTATTTTCGTGACTAGTTTAAATACTTATTTGTTAATTGCGTGTGATAAAAAGCTTTAAAAATGGGATTATAAATAAAAAACATCAACAAGAGCAATCTAACAGAAAATTTCTCTCTACCTTTTCAGTTGGATGTCTCTGGGAAGAAAAGTTCAGACCACTAACGTAAAAAAGGCTGAACTCTACAGAAGCAGCATGGGGAAACGTACAGTTCCCCTTCCATTGCTGCTGTTTAATGGGGACCAAACTGACTGACGTACTGCATCCTCAGCTTGAGGAAAATGTGCTGTGAACGCACCTGCCCTTTTACCTTGACTGCAATTACATGACATGCATAATCACTATTTAATCACTATACTCACATATAACCAGCACTAATAAAACTCCAGTAACAAAAAAGTCATTTTCCTTCAGAGAAAGAAATGGCTTGAGCCTGTCCGAGTGTCTGCAACCATGAGTAACTTGCAACATTTTTTTTCACAGATCTTATAGCTGTTTTAAACATGTATAATTTGTTATATAGTTGACTTAAAGGTGTATCTGGAATTATATACAACACCACCATTACAGAAACACTAAAAGGATATGTTGTTACCACCGCTATGTATCTCCTCCATTCAAATTTTCCCTAAGTAAAACTTGCTCCCCCCAAATATGAATTTTCTTGCTGACTTTTCCTCTTACAATTAAAATATACTTTTGAAAATAACTAGTTACACAATACAACTGCTTTCAAACAGGGAAGAAAGTCTGCACCACTGTATTTAACTATTAATTTTCTATCCAGCAGATTGCCCTGCTCACAATGTACTGACTTGCGGCCATGTTCTACTCAGTGTGTGTAAAAACCTCTCATTCACTGATGTGATTGTGTACCAAACAAGGGCAGAATCTGCTTCCAAGATTGATACATGCACAAAATTTTCCATTAATTGCAACACTGCAACTTCCCCGAGACATCAAGTTGGGAGAATGTTAAAAAAAAAACAACAAACCACCACACACCAAAAAAAACAAAACAAACAAACCCCCCCCCCAAAAACCCCCAAAAACCAAACACCAACCCCAAACTCTGAAAATCTAAAACTGAGTTTGTCAGCAAAACATTAAACTGCTAGAAATCATTTTAAGAGACTTTTAGGGATTGTTTGTATTTGTATTATTTTAGCAATTCTGCCTGTAAGTTTAAAAGGAAAAAGGACTTGGCAGACAAGCTCAATAACAGACTTTCAGAATAAGACATTGTGGGCTGAGTTAGCATGCTAACAGGAAACTGCTCAGTCTGGATTTAATCAAGAGGCCATCTCTTCACTGACATAACCAGGCTACCCAAAGGCAAAAGAGTTTTCATGTTTGTTTTTGTGTTGTCTGCTCAGAGGAATACTGTATCTACTGCTATTAAAAGATATTCCTAAACCTCTTTGCAAGTTTTGACAGGGGCACACAGTGATCACTGTTATGTGGTGCCAATTAAAGCCACCAGAAGTTTTGCAGTGTTTTGTGCATCAAAACAACAAAAAAAGTCTCTCTGGCTCCTTCTGTTCCTCTGCTATCAACTCATCCAGCAGCCTAACAAAGGTGCTGGACCGCAACATCTCAGGGCTTCAGTAAGATTTTCTTGGTCCTCTACAAGGCTGAAAATAAACAAATGTGGCATTTTATAGTCTGATTTATTTTAGGTTTTTTAAACAGTCTGACTTTGATTTTTCAGGCAGTGGATTATGGCCTTGATAATCTGCAAGTATAACTGATGAGCCAAGAGTTTCCTACCAGATAAACAGCATCTTTCAAAAGCAAATGTAGAAAGATTGAACGGAGGTATATTCTTGCAAGTCCTCATTTTTTGAGGTTGCGCGGGTACTGATCTGGTGTAATTCTAACATCTTTACTAATCCTCTGCAATGTTGTACCTTTAGAGGGGCCCACTCTCTTTTAAGGCGATCGTCTTACGGCTATACAGCCCAAAACATTACCCATGTATACAGTTCTTGTTGAAACAGGAGAGCTCCGTGCAGGCTAAAAAACATTCAGGCTAAAAACTTCCTTCAAACACAAACTGACTCCAAAACCAGCTGCCGATGCCCAGTACTGAAGGAGCTATAATTCGGTTCCAAGCTGGTTACAATTAAGGTCCTGACCTTGCCCTGTACAGGCTGGCTCCTGAACCCACACACAATCTTACTGACTCACCAAGGCATTGTGAAAGTGCGAGATAGCCACGCACACAATTGCAGGATGAGGAAAAGATACGAGTATGAGCATAATATCCAACAGACGTCTTCTCTCTGCTACAGCCACCAATACAGGGCTTGAGTAAGCAGGTCCTAAGTTAAAAGCAGCTTGGTACCAGCATAGCTGGTTACTAGGTGTGTAAAAGCAACACTCCTTTATGAATCTCGTGAGACATGATGTGCAACCTTTGATACCACAATCTCCATTTCCCATCAGTCCTTCTCTGCAATAACTGGCCAAGATACACTGATCTCTTGCCATTTTACCTACTGATGACAGGAAAATAAAGAAAAACCTCCACATGCCACAAAGTTGCCAGGTATCTCACTCAGTTTGACAGCCAAACTACAGATCTAGAACCCACAGCCTCGTGGGCCAAAGGTACAAACACTACCTGTTAAACTTCAATGGGATTATAAATTAATTATAAACTCCACCATCTCCTAAATTAATGGTACATCCTAGCAGGAGGGAGTAGAGACTCAGGGTAAAAAAAAAAAAAAAGCTCAAATTTTGAATAGTACAAAAATGGGCTGCTACCCAAATAACAACATACAGAATTGTAGTCATTATTTCACAAATATCACTGGAAACAATCGCTTTTACCCCAAAAAACACTGCTCTGCAGGTTTTTTTCCAATGCAAATATTATCTGTTGGGATTTTGAAAGTGAGAATCATGGAATGAAATCAATGTAATTGTTTTTCATTAGGCAGACTGAAAAAAAAATATCGGAAGAAAACAACTGGGATGAACCATAAGTAAATGAGATATCAAATATTCTTCAGGCTTAGTCATTTAAAAACATTACCACTTTACTAAAGAAGTGGTATAGAAGTTCTGCAAAATTCTTTTCAAGAGTACCTAACTAACTAGTGTGTCTTAAACTCAATTTTTACTGATTTTGACAGATTTTTAAATGCTTTTGACTTTCCTTGAAACTTACAGCTTTTCCAGATGGGGAGTTTTCCACTCTACACATTTTTATGAATTTACTGGACAGACACCCTATGCCAGAATAAAACAGCCTAAAGTGCAGTCACTTGTAAGTTAACTAACAATAAGGCACTCTAATCAAGAATGACTCTTTCATTTCACTGTTTGCCTAAATGTGAATCAGCTTTAACCTTCTGAAAGTAGGAATAAGATGCTTTTTGTGATCTTGCCCTTTTTTTTTTAATATTGCTTTCTTACACACATGCTCTCCAGCATAAGCCTTTAATATCTACACTCATGGGGGGGGGGATAAAGAAATCATGGCATGATTAAGCTTCAAAAGCTCCAGAAATACAAGCATCCACAACACCAGTCTGAGAGAAGAAAAACCTAGGGTATCCTTCATTTAACATGTAGTCACACATCACTTTAGTCAAATATTTTTGTAAAGAACAAACGCAAAGATATGAACAACTCATTTGACATAGCGGTCCCTTTCAACAAAGATCTTAATGAACTCTGTAATTGAGCCTGCTCCCCTTAGAAGGAAGAAAGCAAGATTGTCCCGTAGGTATATTGACAGATAAAACCCACGGCAGCTGACAATCATGCTGAACTGACTCAAACTTGCACACATTGTGCTGACCTCCCCCGCCCCCCATCCACACCACAAGACAATAAAAAAAAAACAAAAGCAAAACCAACCCTCTGTGAAAAGTGGTAATTTTGCGCTAACGATACCACATAACAGTTCACATTAAAAAGAGCAGTGACGGGACAAAGCTTATCAAATTAAGTCTCAGGTGTTTCAAGCGTCGTCAGGGTAGGCCCCCGGGTGCACATATCCACACTGGCTCTTGCAATCAGCTCTGCAATGCCAGCAGTATTTAAGAGCCTTGTATCCCACCAGTCTCCTCTCTGTCCTTGTCCTCCACTCTGCAGAACTGTCAGCCTGGCAAACAGCTTGCATAAGATAAGACTCTGATTTTGAAGCAGAATTTCCACTCTAGGAAACTGTGGCTTGACATGCAGGATTTGGGTGGCCAGAGGTAGGATCTCTTGCAGCCTGCAGACTCCCGGCAGCTTGCCTTTGCAAGAGCGGCTGC